AAAATCCACGGATCTTCGCAAGACGAGGCGACGGCGGGGAACTCCTCAGATGTCAGAAACACTCTTTCGTGCGCAAAGAAGGGGGGAATAGGAAAGGAATGAGATACAGTCGCACCGGCTCGGGAGCGTCTTGGACCTGGCCGAGCTCTTGCTTAGGATCTTCGGGCTTCAATACAATTCGAAGTCATGACGTCATGACATGCCCTCGGATAGAATGACGAGACGATCCGTTCCGAGAAATAAGCGGACTCACGGTTGGTTTCCGGCGGAGCAGAGGATTCGACATTTTCATTCAAGGCAGGACGTCAATCAATCCATCCCTCGATCGTCTTCTTCTTTTTATCATGAGGGGCTGTCCGATCGCGTGCCGCTCCTGACCCGCTCCATTCTTGAGCAATCCAGCGTCGGCTAATCGGCAGGTGTGCAACTCCCATTCATTAATGTCGATAGTGATTCACGCTACACAGCAGCTCGCCGGCATCACCTCAGCCTCATTTCAGAGCTTCGTCTGACACGTTTTTGACCGCTCTCTTTGTGCAGCGTCAGCCGAAATAAATTACTTTCGTGCTTTCAATTAGGACATCGGAGAAGCCTCACTGTGGCGCCTTCTACGTGCGTGGGCGAGCTCGATCCCCACATCGACCTTCTCCGAGGATCGATTGAATCGGTCCCTTCTGAAGCAGACGAGAATAATGGGACGGGAGAACAAGCTTCACCGCAGAGAAATATATGTAGTCGGAATCGATATTGAAGAAATCGGACCGAGTGGTAGAAACTGTCCGGCTTGAATATGAACACATCCGTCCGAGCGAAACCTGTCGGTTTCGGAAATGAATCGGAACTTTAGGTGCTCACTCAAGCAGATAATTGAGGAGAATAATTTGCTTCTCGCGGGGTAAATATCTCCGACCGACCCAGATTTTACACTGCTAAATGCCGGAAATGTTGCTTAAGGAACGAGAATTAGGCCGAGAAACTTCTCCATCTCCCGAGCTGAAGTCGCCCGAGAGCGACCCCCGGTCAATGGGGCATGACAGTTAAGAATCAGAATCAGAGTCCCTCAATCAGAGGAAAACGGAGGGACACGAAGCTGAGAATAATACCGAAGAGGCGCGAAATTCCTCCGGGGATCTGAATAGGGGCAATTAGCCCGTTTAGGACTAGGGGGGAGGGAGTATCTGGGGGAGAAAATTCGAGGCTATATTATTTCCTTTGTAGCCTAATTGCGAGCAGTAATTCAGCTGTACATACTTCACTTGGACCCCTTGCCGCTCTTGTTCCGCCCATAGAGCACGAACCACTCGGCCGATCGGATAACGAAGACCTCATCTGAGCTCAAGGTGACACGCCCTTTCCTGCAGCTGCCCCTCATTGATCACTTGACGTTCCCCTTCCAGTGGCACGGTTCGCCTCAGTCAGGAAACGGCCGCACTGAAAGACTAACCTGTGAGTCTCCTCGCAGCCGAAAGGCGAGGGGTCACTCTCTTCCTCGAACAGCCCAACGACTTCCAATCCGCAACCCGTTCTAAAGGGCACGATGCCGCCGGGGACGACCCGAGCTGGCTAATCTGCAAACATCATCCGTTGAAATCCGTGCTGATAACGTGTATTTCCAGACAAATACTCAACTTGGTTCCAACTTCACCTGTCCCAAAGCTGAGGGGAGCACCGAGCGTAATTTCCGTTCCTGGGGACCGAGAGGAACCCGTGGGGTCGACCACACCAGTGATACCTTGTCGCAGGAATACTCCTCCGTTCTTCACATCGTCGCGCAGGATTGCGAACAGAGGAGGTGAACAGAATTGAAGGCTTGTCAAAAAATTTTTCTGGTACTCCCAGCTGGTGGACTTGATGAACAATCATTTCTCAGAAGTACATATCTTTATTTTTCTTCTGACGACCTCCGACGTACGAACTCGTTTGTCGAAGGCTCCATGACCGCGGAAAGAGAGCTCGACGAAGCTTTTGGGACTTAAACAGAAAATGAGCAGGGACGTTCATGCTGCTCCTGTTTATGGACCCTGCGGGGCCGGGCTCGCGCGGGACGTAATACTTATCGTCTTGATATGTTCCATACCCACATGACGTCAAATCGAGTCAGACAGAGGCGACAGCCCTGATAAAGCTCTCGTCTTGAGGTGTCGTCTCAATGACTTTCTCCTGACAGCGGCAATGCTGGTATGCTCCGATATCATTTTGGTCGAGTTGAACGTCCGCGGAGTTGAATTTTCAGGGATAGGGGTTTCCATCGAGTACTTGAGCGCGAGTGGAGAGGATGTCGTTCTACTCGAGGCGCTACCAAATCTGGAGTCCGGAGAAATCTGTTTCGCCACAGAGTTCTATCTAGCCAACGGAAGGAGTTCTCAATGCGAGGCTGACGGTGCCGATACGACTAGCTCTCGACGACTTTCCGAGCGGTAATTTTCCGATAGACTGAGCATGAAAGAACACGGAAGAATGGCTTCCCCCGTACACACCGATAATTGGATGAGAAGTTCCTGGCGATTTCGAGCGGAGGCTTCTTTGATGACAGACTTCCCCGTGAATTCCGTTTGCCACCCGCTCGGAACCTCACCGGAGCTACCAACCGGCGATGAGTCACAGCCGCTCTGCAGACAAGTGTGACAGCCCTCGATCTCATCAGGCGCGCAGGACCTTCTGACCTCCCGCAATTCGCATCAGTGTCTCACTCAGAACGACTACCTCGGGCTTGGAAGTCTCTGACTACTATTTTCTGTGCGATAAACGATGATTTGGGCTGGGAGACAAGGCACGTGCTCTTCCGGGTGGTCAGAAATGACAGTCCTTTCATGGGCTAGAAGGATCTAGGATCGAAACACGTGGAACGACGTCCGATCGCTTATCGAAAAACGCCCTATGAAATTCTGCCACACGGTGGGCTTCCCCAATCATTTGCCTGGTGCGGTTGCCAGGCTGTAAGTCGGCGTGGTGGTCAGACGGCCGGCAGTACGGCAGCGGGTAAGAGCTGCGTAAATCAGAAGGATTTATTTATAGCTCGAGGCCTCCTAACTCTCTGTTGTGATTCACGCACGCTCCATAAACTCCTTGTTCTGATGGAGATGTTAGAGGGCTCATCTGGTCAAGATCGCACGGCTCTACAAATGGTCGGCGCGGCGTACAAAACAGTCTATTTATGATTTCGCACATGATGTCAATGCTATCTGCGAGGCCGCGCTGAATAGGCGTCGATTTCCATGTCCGCTCCCTCGAGTATTTCCCCTTGGAACGCTCACTCATGTAGTCGGGTTAAAAAACAAGGGATCGAATTGTCGACACATGGGGTGCCGCCTAGCACACAGCTTCGGGAGAGCTTTCAGGAGTCCGTGCAGGTCTGCCGAGGCTGAGAACGATCGGGCAGTTTCAGAGGAATCGAGGAAAGCTGCTCCCCTTGGGGTGAACGAAATCGGACTTCTCATGAACTTTCATCTCTCATCCGATCAGATGGGCCCCGCCGCCAGCTTGAAGGGTCTAGCCATCCTCGTAGCGGAATATTTCCGCTTTCTACGATATATTTCCGGGACACATGATTTTGGCATCCCACGCTTCTGTCACCCTCCGAAGCGAGCGGGTGATCTTCCCCCAATTCGAATTCCAAGACTTCACTCGAGACATTGCAATCCATCTCAGACTCATGACCATGTGGTTTGATTAAGCGGGACTTACCACCCATCTAAAAGTTCGGGACGTTGAAGATATATGTGGAATTTAATTTACTTCTCCCGCGTTGAGACATTTTATCTCCGTAGAAGCGTGAGCAGGTCTTCACCTCATGCAATATATTCCCTACTCTGCAGGAAACCATGTGACAGAGCTGAGCTATCTGGCCTTTAGCAGGTCCATTAGTGTCTTCGTGTTGCCTCCATATAAGGTCTCTCAAGGCGAACTTCTTTCTGTTTTCTGTCTCCGTGCAGCTTCGTTATAGAAGATCTTCCCAGCCATACTCCCATGAACGAGCGAGAGTGCGACATCCAGGTCGCTGCAGGAGCCAGCTCTCGACTTGATTCCTGTCCATCTGTTGATGTGCGACCCGACATCGGATACTCTGTATTGAACCACGGCCGTAATGGTTTTCTCGTCCAGTGATACAGACGGGAATTCCGAAGACGAAGAGGCTATTTATTCTTTATCCCATCGCATCCGACTTCAATCACGAGGGCTCTAAGGCAGTATCCTGTGTCATGAAGCGTCCATGGCGGACTTAAATTGGCTCCGAATTTCGTCCAAGCTGCTGATTGTTCGTCATGACGCCATCGTTCCCCTGGTGAAACTTCTTCCGGAACTGGTCGAGCTTAGCGTGGTGTGACGTGGAGCTTTTGTGCGCTGAAATGGCATATTAAAGGTACACGTTGTGGGCTGAGTCCAACTTTCCACGTCATTCCAGTCGCGTGCGGTAGCCCTACGAGGCGAAGACGAGGATATAGTGAGTCCCTCCGGGTGCACTCTCGGAGGAAAGTCATTTACCGGGAAGGGAACGGTTGAAGGCCCCAAAAACAAATTCCCAAGGCGGGACCACACCGAGTGATCGCTATTCCTATCTTACGTTGACGATGCTCCGTAGGCCTCATGTTGCTCCGATGTAGCAAACTTTGTTCCTTACAATGTTACGAATACGAAGAGCATTCTCTCTCTCGAGTGATGCATGTGTAAACAACGGCGGCCTTGCGCTTGATGCTTCAACGACCGTCTGACTGATGGTTTATACGCTCTCACAAGTCAGGTCCGAATCCCACCGTGGTTCCTAGCAAGCCTCTCTCCCTCATGCCCTCCTCCACGACCAGGGGGCGCTAGACTCTGATAAAAGTTCGGACAAAGCTCCGACGCGGGATCGTTTCTCACTCGATGCCTGCGAACATCGGCCTCGGCTCGCCAGTCGAGTTCTCGTTCCAACCCACCTTACGGATGGTGAAAACGGCGACGTCGGAAGACAATATGTCGCTTGTCGTTCCAGCCGTGCTCGGCTGCCAAATCGGACTTGACCAATGAGCGAACTTCAAAGCGGAAACCAAAATCCACCAGAGGCGGCTCCGCGCGGAAATGAGCCGCCGGCATCCGAAGGCTCTCCGGAAAGTACGTCCAAGTCGGAAGCGACGTCGGAGACATCGATACTCCGTTCGAACACGAGAGGCAAACGCCACTCTGGATGCCGGGTGAGCATTCAGGAAGAGAGAGTTCTGAGCCCGAGTGGCACCGCGGTACCCTTAGCTCTGGCGTCGAATGGGAAACACCCGGTCCGGAAATCGTCGTCGATCACGTCCATCCGACGACATCGTGCCCCTTCTGTTCTGGCGGGACCGGAACTAGAAACAATCGTGACGGAATATTCTACGAACGGCTCGTACGCAGGTGCACATCTTGCTCATCGTATGAACCAGTGTCGACCGTTGGCTATTCTCCTCCGCTTTCGAGTGGCACAGATCGCTTCGGGATCGTGTACGTTTCTGTTGGGATGTGTTGCACTCCTGGATACGGCGACGCGAGGATCGCTGTCCTTCGCGCTTCTCGCGGGCGCCCTGGGCGTCGTCACCGCCTCCCTGCATACGTCGGATTGTCGACGAAGAGGCATTTCCGGACTCGAGTACATTTGTCCCGGACTCCACGTGACCGTGTTCGTCATCCTAACTGTGATAATGAACTTCGCTTTGATCGTCTTAGATAGCCTATGCATCTTCGGTGCTACGGACAAAAACTCGTTCAAATTAGGCATCGCTCAAGCGATTGTATGTTTACCGTGGAACTGTCTCGAGTTCATCACATTGGCTCTCCGAGTGATGTGGGCTCGCCGCGTGCTTAGGTGACCTTCGCATAAGATGATCTAGGTAGATCATCCCCACCACCCACCACCCTGTTGATCGCGCTGTTCGATCGTTCGTTTCTCCACCGCGTGCATCCTTCACTTTCGATTCCTACTCCCCATCCTCATCATCGGTACTCTCGTTCCGTTCAGGGAAGAATGAAAGCTCAAATGTCAAGGGACGAAAGTTGAGCGCAGAATGTACGGATTTTCATCGCCGATGTCGGAACGATTCGTGGAGGGAGCGTGGAGAGGAACAGACTGTTTTCGTTGAGCCGGTCTGCGCTCCTCACCCAACGGAAACTTGTTTCGAGAAAGATGTCATCAGGCGCGCGGTTTGGATCCGTGATGGTGCCCAACAGAGTGATTCCGGTCGGTTTGCCAACAATTTGAATAGCCCAGTACGATCTCGCGAGTGAGCTGACAGCTCGGAATACGTTGTTTCACCGTCTACGTGCTCGACGTGCGAGGTAACAGAATCGTGTCAAATATGTGAATCAATCAACACCGCGGAGTGGAAAACGTGAGCGCTGCAAGGTGGTTTGTTATCTACGACATTTTAAACACCGCACACATCCTCGTGTTTGTATGTATGTCTGTACAATATGTACTCTTCGTCGGTCGCCCGCCCGCCCACTCGCTCGCTGTGACCGTAAATGAGCGTGCGTGCGTGTTCCTATGAATGTTCACCCTCCGATGGGCCATGCTGTATCATTGTCCGGAGTCGCGGCCACTGTGGAAACAGAGCGAAAAGTTTGAAGGACCGTGGCGGAACCGCCCGGCTCTTCCTGAGCGAGTTCGGAAAGCTCAGTGGAGCTTCAGCTCCGATAGGCTATGCGGTCCCGCTAATGGTCAGGATTCCAAGTAAATCGCCGCCGTGTTCTGTTCCCCGTCCTCTTCTTCTTCTTCTGGTTGCCCCGTCCCGGTTCCCTGCCCGGCGAGAATCGCAGGCGTTAGCATCTTCCGTGGGCGTCCCATCTGGTCTCAGGCTCTCCTCCCTACGCTCCTCTCTGTTACGTTTTCCCAATTAGGTAGACGTCCGTCGCTACAAGTGAAAAGGTCGTTGCTACTGAATCGGACATTGTTGAAGCTGGCTGATGCTGATGGAGGAGTAGGGAAGATCTTACACTGCAGAGCCGGTTCCTTTCGGCATTTCTCTCTAATGGCCATGGCTTTACGTCTTGTTATAATACGGACGGCTTAGCCGTGACGTGATCGGGAGAAGATAAAAACACAGTCGCAGCCCGGAAGAAGACCCGGCTGAAATCGATGGGGAGCGGTGCCTTATTTTCGACAGTGAAAATCGTCAACCAGAGAGGGAAACGGCAGGGATCAGCGAGGGGAACACTGATCTGGAGCTTTAGAAAAGAAGGAGGACTCAGGCTGATGGTTAGAGCGAACGATTTGGGAGCGGCGGCCCACATCGACGAAGACGCTGACGACATGTCACCAGCCTAATCGATGATAATGATGTCTGCTCCGCCGAGATTACATCTTGATGAACGTCCTCGGCGCCGAGGAGGATGTATATACAATGAGGAGACTTAAAGTGACACAGAAGAGTCACGCGAGCGATTGTAACCAGTGCCCTGGGAGTGGAATAAAGTTGAACTTGTCTGGATTTTTCCCAGTGACGATTTCTCATTTTCTCCGATTTGATAGTCGATTGAAGATCTATGTCTTCGTGCAGAGAAGGGACCGTGGGTCGACCCACGTTGGAACAGAAATTCTAGTGCTGGGGTTCCCGAAGGGGGTCCCGATGAAAAAAAGTGATTTCGCGGTCCTATGTAGAAATATATCCGATATATGCAGTTTGAGAGGACATCGACCAGCATAATGGCGCAAGAATCTCCCATTACGCTGGGGAGGCTTATTCAATGTAACGCTGGAAAACATCCTTTGTCTCGCGAAGCTAGCGACTAGTATAACACATTTAAAATAGAGTCGCAAGACTCCGGAGGAGTCCCGCGCTAGGAAGGAAGCGCGAACCGCTGCGCTGGTCAAGTGTGACTCGGTGTCAGTTCCATTCTCAGCTGGTTGCGAATCGGCACAATGATTCGCCTCTCGTAGTGATTGTAAAAAAAAGACTGTTTTAGGGAGCTCAGAACTAGTCGTGAACTTCTATTCCATTCCGGAACCTCTGCCTTCGAATCCAAATAGCTCTGACGTCTGGGTATCATGTGTCACAGCAGACAGACTTAGCATCTTCTTGGGCACGAAGCTCTAATTCGGGACACATTAATTTGATGCTCTCAGAATCGGTCTATTCCTCGGAGCCTCGGATATTCCCGGATGCCACGGAACGAATCAATGACGTGATTCGATACAATGTCGCCGAGGAGCTCCAAGCTCTAAGTTCTCGGAGCTCCGGACGCAGCTTTGAGAGCCTCACTCGGCAAATGAACTCACAGCAGATTCCTTGATCATCGCCGCAAGCGATCGGGGCGATGCTTTGTCAAGTCTCTTTTCCTTTCCGAAACGTCGAGATGCGTGAAGAACAAGTGACGCGAACTAACGAAGTTTCGCACCCGGTGGCTTACGTCGACAAGAATGCAATCATTGTCGAGTGACCCTGGGTGCCGCAGGCGATTCTCGCTTCATCGCAGACCATTATAAATGCGGGCAGGGACTGGCAATGAGTGAGCCCATAAGGAGAGGTCGCCATGACTGTACAAAGTCCGCCTCTGGTGAGAGAACAGAAGCTTTATCTACCAGAAAACTATGGGCGGAAATTCGAATTGCGGTCAATCGATTCGAATGCGGAAACCCTATCAGGATGATCAATTGATACCGAGAGATGGGGAGAGCTTCGGGACTCGCAATCCCGAAAAAGTGCCTATGCAGGATGAATTTTGCAGTGCCCGCAAGTCGAACGCTGATATGGAATTAGTTTCCCTCCTTTCGCTCTCGGGATGGAAGGCGTCCTGCTTTGAATCTTATCGTGTGCCACCCATCCTCTCACGAGACTTTCTCTTTTCTTCCCTGCTGGATCCTGCGTGTGCATCGTCGATTCAAGGCATCCGCAAAACTCGTGCGAGAAGTCTGTGCAGAGAAGACGGACCTCCAAAGCTTGCGGATACAGCAAGGACTCCCGCCCATCATCATTAACTCGCTGCTTCGAGAGTTGACTCGTGAATCCAACGGAAACTCCTGATATCTCATTACGCGTTACGCTGAACGTGATTTCCGAGCAAGCCTTCGAAGAACGCAGATCTGTGCGAGATGGAGGAGCTTGCTCTCGCTTATGAGATTCCGAGGAATTCTTTCAGGAATCCCGATATTCATTCCAGAGCTGCGAACGCACCAGGATGTTCATCTTCTATCGGTTTTCGGCAGCCCTCGAGAAGATCGATCATCCTTTCGCAGATGAACACTGTCGTGATCGGAGCCGAGATTTTCCTGAGCGAAGATCTAATTTCAAATCCGAGGCCTCGATGCCTCCCCTTCCAATCTAGGTCTCCACACGGCTCCGATCAAGGATCCAGATCGAGTCGGGTACCTTTCGCATCCTTCGAGCTCAATTCTCATTGGGGGGGGGGGTTGATGCTTGGGGCGTGTGGTCTGGCAGACTTCTAGGCAGGGACTGACATTATGCGTCTGTCCGATCTTCCAATGTCCTTGGTCAATCGGAGTAATAATACCCGCAACTCTGGACTGAATATCTAAGAATCAAGGGGATAGAAGGAGACCGGCCAATTCAACGGAATGGACTTATTTGGAATTGAAGCCCCTCCGACGTGACGAGTCGCGTCGAAGCCCAGTGAAAACTTCATGAACCCACGCACGATTTTCCGACGCGAAAGCGCGAAATCTCCGTCCTTCTGGGGTTCTTTGTATTCAGACACCACAGATGAAATATTGGGACAACTTGAAGGGCTCAAACCTGAGCCCTCAGTTTGGGAACGTCTCGGAGCCCCACTCAATCATTCCAAGAATTCTCTGCTGCGGCCCACGCTGCCAGAGCGCAACGCGTTTCCGTCCCGAACTCCGAGAACCTCGACCGGAGGTTTACTCAAACGCTGAGCTCGCATCATTTATATTTAGGCCCTTGACATGTCAGGAATGATTTCGAGAACCGTTCGTCCTGAGACCCGGAGGTATTCTCTGCGGAGACAAGTGCTAAGCGAAAGCTGGGAATAGCTTCCCTGGGATATTTTGAAGTCAAATCAGACCATCCCGTGACTCCCATGACAGAGAGCTGGGGAATTTCCCCGAGCGCCGACTGAGGCGAGCCGGCCTCTGAGGGGATCAGAGTTCTGAATTCCAGAAACTATTCCGTCATTCACTTGGATTTGTTCCAGCGAGGACTGCTGTTCTGACTTGAACCGGGGCTCGCGTATCTCTAGCTTGGCCCAGGGCAGTAGATAATCGTCGGATCCACAGAATCTCCACAATCTCCCGGAGAGAGGAATTCCAGAAAATTTGTCACCGCTGATTGTTCTCCATCTCCACCGCATCTTTAACAGCAGAATTTTCCCAAGTCGCGGGAAAGTTTTGACAGACGCGCTTGAGAGAGCGCGCGCCTCCGAGTCGGCGATCTCGAGTCTGGCGATGATTGAGGTCGTTGAAAGAGCTCTGCGATTTCTCGTCCGACCCAATCATGCGTGGAGAAACATTCGAAGGATTGTTTCTGACATCCTCCTTCACCAAACAACCTGAATAGGCATTCCGATTTTGAATAAGAGAGCTCCTGAGCCGGGTTCGTAATCAGTGGGCCATCGGGTCCTCCGCTCAAGAATCCTCACTTCTGCCAATGCTTAACCTTTTGTCGCCACATTTCGAATGGAATCGAGCCATCTGTGCCGGAGGCGATGATCTTCATCCGTGATAAGGAAAATCGAGTTTTGATCGAAGACCGACAGAGGGTCGAACACAGGTGAGGGAAGCGAAGCTGGAGTCATCCTGGTAGGATCGGATTCTGACCAGAAGAGATCGTGAGGATGATGCGGCAAAATCCACCGCTTGCAGAGCGGTGTTTGCGCGGCTCCCCGATCGAACATTGCC